CAGAGGGAAGACGTACTACAGCTAACAGTGGAACCAGTTTCATGGAGCCAACTGTACCACATGCTGGAAGACATATCCCAGGTGTGGAACTGTGAAACATGGAGAATAGTAATTCAGATATTTTGCACTTTTCTAACCTCTCAGACATCTTTAAATAATGCAGCTGACTGCAGGCCAATGAAAAGTGCTTTGTCATCGTGCTCTAACTTTACCTGAAATATCACAGCAGCACCAGAGACGCTGTAGGCGTGATGTCACCACTCAGCCTCCTCCCACTGCTGCCCCTGGAGATGGTCTCCATAGCAACCAAATGAGGCTGAGCAAAAGATTCACCCATCTACAGTGGCAATGCTGACTTTGGACAGTTTCTTTTTGATGCTCTGGTGCTTTTAGACGCTTTCCAGCAGTCTGTTTGTCTCAACCCTGACAGACAAGATTAATATTAATGGGAAAAGTCAGATGTGTGTGAAGTTGTGGTTATGAGGCCGTGTGACCCTGGAACCTGTTCAGACCTGGCTCATCCCTCAGGTGTCCTGTGAGAGAGAGTGGCTGCCGCGTCCAGCAGCAGTGTCAGGCTAATATTTTGGTTCCTCGAGTCACTGGCAAACAAAAACCCAAAGACAACATCATCACAGTTCCACACATCTGTCACTGTAAATCCCATATTGCTCCAAACAAACAGGGCAGCTTCTTCTTTCTCAAACCTTGCAGAGCAGATCTGAATATGCTTTTAATGCCAAATGATTTTGTGCACTTTCTTACACATGAAAAGGGAGCAGAACCAGGCTTTGCTAAAATATTCAGGGGTGGAGCAATGTGCTGCAATAAGTAACTGCTGCATGCAATGCATAAAGCCTCACTGTGTATGTGAAAAGCTTATTGTCACTGACACACAATCAGTTTTATTTTTGTTCTCTCACCTTCACACAAAAGGTATCATATTTCTAGTATGACCTTGGTGTACTATAACCAAGTGTTCCTGAAGCAAGCACTTACCTTGACTTGAATATCACTCACTCGTACAGACACATTGTATAATGCAGCATAAGGGTATCCCTGTAACAGTGACACTGACTCACTCACTCACTGACTCATAGTCCTTCCCTTCAGCATCAGGATAGCTCACTGAACAATTGTTTTTTTGTTTTTTGTGGTAATTTTGCTGCTGTCTGTACAAACGACAAATGAAGAAGCTGTATAGTAAAATGCATTTGTGTTTATTCCAGCCAAATGTTGCATGATGTTATTTTCGATTTGCAGAACAGCAGCATGTGTCAATGCAGACACTGTTACCACGAGGAAAATGTCTACAGGTTGTGACTAAACCTATATGTTTAGATGGTATCCTCTTGCAGTGGGTGTGTGCAGATTTCTGCGCTGTTATCTGGCCAAGTGAGATGCAGCTTGGCAGTATACCGCAGTGGACCAGTGTCCTTGTGTCTCTCCTGGTGTCTGGCTCTTTTCCAGCATCTGCCCTCATCCTGGTGGGCCTTAATCTGATGAGCACGACTCTTTCCTTTCCCTCCCCTTTTTTCTTTTTCTCCCTCTCTTTGCACAATGCCCTCTCTTTGCTATCCCTCCCTTCTTTCTCTCCACCTCTCTTTTGTCTGTGCCTCAGATTCACTGTTAGCTCCAGGGGACATGAAGAAGGACGCATGGAGCTACATTGCAGTTTTAAATTACAGTTGTATGTATAACGTGGCCTCTTTTGCAGGGCACCTTCTTTTCTCTCTCCTGAGCACTGATACTGGAATTACTCATCTCCCAGAGGGTTAAATAAACTGAGTTTCACTGGAGAGACATTGGAGAAATAGGTGTTTACCAGAGGTTTTGTGATTGCTAGATAGACTGAGAAGTGGAAAAAACACGGTTATTACATTGTCAAAATGAGGAGTTCTTTTCACCTAAAGATTCCCATGAAATATGGTAGTGAGGATCCACTAATGAGGACATTTACACAGGAGAACGTTGCATCACATCTAGAAGTACAAAATCTCTCTTATTGCAGCTGCAAATCCAAGAGTGAACATGAAATGCAGAGTTCATCCGTTCCATCCTAGTGCTTCATGTTGGCCATTGAACTAGCTGGTAATATGAAGAGCAGACTCCTGAAGTTGAATCATTGGATCTTTTTGTTTGCACCCTTTTCAAACAGTGTGTGTGTGTGTGCTGGAAACCTGTGGCTGCTGCAATGCAGTATCAAGAAGCAAGGAGGTACAACAGACCACAGCACTCCAGGGACTAGGCTAAACAGCACTGACACTTGGTATTGATAAACATACATATATGTCACCTGGGGACATATTCGTTGCAGCTAATTTTGTAGTGATTTTTAAACCCATCAATCAGAACCAGAATCAGCTTTATTGCCAAGTAGGTCTACACATACAGCGAATTTGTTTTGGTGACTTGGTGCATAACAATAAACATAAAACATACACATATAAAATATTTAATTGATGGATGATAAATATTTAAAAAATCATTATGTGCAATATGGAAGTTTGTGCAGTGATACCCAAGAATTTGAAATACTAATACCAAATAGACATATAACCACTATGTGTCCTTGTGTGAAGGAGTGTTGAACTTCAGTACTTTTTGGCATAAAATTATATTTATTTAGTCTACCGCAATTGGTTTAAAAGGCTGACCAGTGAAAAACATTTTGATACAGACTGAAATGTCAGGGTTGTAGTCTTGTTTATTATTCTTTGATCAGATAGTTCCTAATTGAAATTAGTAAAGTGAAGAAAAAAAAGTGAAGAAATTACCTGCCATTAAACTAAAGGCTCAGTGAAAATGACCCTTCATTTTCTCAGTCCTCAAGTTAACTTTCTCTGCTCCCTGTTCCTGTGCCAAAACAACTTCTGGAGACGAGGACGAGCCCTGAAATCAATAACTCTTGGAAACAAATTCACCTTTGACAACTGCATCTTCAGATTCCCACATTGCATTAATTTTCACGTCCCCATATGATCAGAACACACGCAGCATTTAGAGAGCTGGGTCCCTTCGCTTTTAATTAAAGCAAGTCAGCTAATGCAAAGTGAACCAAGCTTTAGAGCCTGCATTAACAGTCTTTGTAATGGGCCCCCGGCTCATAAATAATGGCTGTGCTGTCATGAGGAACCTTGGAAAGCCATTAAGAGATAGTGAGAGGTATCAGCATGTGTGGCAGCAGGCAGGCAGACAGACAGAAGGGACGAGGCTGGGAGCTGGGATGGTCTCAGGTCTGCCAGGAGTAACCTTGGCAAAGCTAAGTCTCACACAAATCATCCCGCTGCCCCCCTCCACCACACCCGCCCACCCACACACACACACACACACACACACACACACACACACACACACACACATATACTTTTCATCACATTCACTTCATCCCCTTCACAACCAAGGGATTCCCGCTGACCTTTGGCTTCACTGGAGGTCATTTCTGGCCACAGTGCTATCTCAGCTCCAGAATTGATAGTGGCAAGAGCATTTACTATTGATCGCTTTGTTCTGAATATAACAGGGCTCAGTGATGAAGGTTTTGCTCTATTTTAGTCACCCACCTATCTATTATAAATGAAGCTTGTTGCCAGGAAAGCTGACAAATATAACTTCTGTAAAAAGGCAGAAAGTGCTTTCATAATACGTTGTTGCAAAAAGCTCAGAAAAGACACCTGAATAAGACATACAGTATGTCCTCTCTAAATGCATTCAGTTAGATTGTTTGTGGGACAATGCTATTGAACAAACAATGCAGGAGTGCAAGCCTCAAGTTTCTACTGGCTATAGAACTCATATAAGTACCAACTGCCTTCTCAGGAGTATAATGTTAGCTAGCTCTTATCAAATCTCATGACATTGAGTGTGGGTCTTTTCAGTTGTTTGTTCTTCAAGCTAAAGCAAATTCCCACCATCTCTGGACTATGGCAGAAGTATTGAGTGCTGAATCATGTCTCTGGTTTACCTGACCTTGTTGTCTTGCTTTGCTGTACATGCAGTCAGATCCTCTAGGTGACATCCTGTGGCCATCAGGTCTTTAAGGCATTGAGCCCCCTCCCTCTCCTTGGCTCTTGCCTGCAGTTCTCCAGGCTGCAGGACCCAGAGTCACTGAAAAGTGCAGGCTTATTCCTCCTGCAGAATGACTGAGATGAGGTGGCTGCACACCCGGGCACCCACAAATCTAAGACAGATGTCCCCTTAAACATGCGTTTAAGATAGGTTGTTTGTGGGGCAATGCAATGGAACAAACATGCTGGAATATTTCCAAAATAACAGCTGCAGTCAGATCTACTCACAGTAATGCTGCCAGTTACAGTTACTTGTCTGTTAAAATAGTTTCACATTAAGGTGACTCAACCCCATTATGGTCTAATCTTGCTAATCTACAATAAAATATGTAAAACATGCTGCTCTAAATACTCGTTTGCCTTTAAATTTTGCATTGCAGTTTTTAAAAAAAATTTAATAAAATCAACTGACCAACAGCAGTGCAGCAGAACAATGCTGGAGATGTGTACCCCTTTAAATTGCCCACACTGCAGATAAGGTAAGGAGTGTTAGGCTACAGTGCGGCTGGAGAGCGCGTTTTTCGCCCTTGCGTTCTACATCACCAGTACTCTTGGTATGCATAGCAATGCCCAAATGCAGGTTTGACTAAGCTTTATAGAGCAGCCCAGAGGCCACTGAAATATTTCACCCTCTAATGTCTCTTTCACCTAAAAATAAATAAATATCTCACCCCCTGCTGAGCTGAGACCAGGCAGGACCAATAACGTCTGGTTTATATTTACGTGGGTGTGTGGGGGGCTCTGGCTCAGTGTAATTGCATAATCTTGTAGCCCACCACGGAGGGCGATTCTTTTATGCATGTCGTTTCAAGTCAGTGTCTGAAGACGCTGCTCTGCTCACCATGCAGGCTATTAAGAGACTCACAGAACTGTCTCTGTGCAGTAAACGTTGGGACGCACTTGACTCTGCCTGAGTCTATATCTGCAGCCCAGACACTGGATTCTGGTCGGGATGTTGTTTTATGTGCCGGGCGCATGCCCCCACAAGAAATCAAAATGTGGATTGGCTGTGTGACGCGTGAATAGATTACATTTTATGAGCGACAGATTTATTCTCACACTGAAATGAAAAGAGGACTCTTTATTGATGCATGTAGGCTATCCCAGAATATTGGCTGTAAGATTATGTTTTTTAAGCTCTCTCCCTCCTCCACGCCTTGCTTGTTTCTCCCTTTGCAGATGTTGCCTCTCTGAGCACCTTATCAGGTCCATTTACCTTTGCGGGCTGTCCGCAGCCACAGCTCGTCACACAATCACACATGGCGTGGAGGGGAACAGTGGAAGCAGATCTTTCTGCTGATCCCAGCACCTTTTGATATTAAGGGAAGCACCAGCAGATCCTTGATCGGTTCCCTCCTCCCTTTTTGCCAATCGCCATCCCGCGACAGCCTACCCGGAGGACAGGAGTCGGGGAGGGGAAAGCGAGGACACACCCGCACTTACTGTACCCGGTGTACACGGTGAGGATGCTGCAGACAACACGAGGTGAATATCAGCGACTGCCCCAAATTGAAATTTTATTTTTTTTGACCTGCTCTGAAGACAGAAGACCTGATTGTCGCAGCTGGTTCTTCATCTTCCTACTACACCAGTGTTCAGCAGGAACATCAACTCACAATAAGATATGAAAAATATGTCTGCAGGTATGTATGAAATCAAGATACAGCATCTTATCATTACCCACCATCCCTGATTTCGATAATATATGTTTTAAAGTCTTAATGATATGCAACTCACAGGAAAGGAAAACGTGATAATATGGAATAAGCCTGCACATTTGCATGTTTCAGGAGGATTTTATTTTGTAAAACCGTGCTCCCACTGTGTGACTGAGGATGATGCAGACAAGAGATACAGTGTTTCTCTTGGAACCTTTTTCTTTCAATGGATAAATTATTTATAGATGTTTTTGAATATTTCAAAGACAGGCACCATTTCAAGATTTAAATGCTCAAACAAAACTAAGCTGAAGCCAATTAATGTGAGGCGTCTGTGTGTTTGTTTGGTACAGCAGTAAATCTTAAAAGCGTCTCGTACATTTGTTTTTAGACTGCAGTGGTTTTCTATGACATTCTAGACAGGATGCTGTCTGTATCAATTTGGTGCCTGCTGCATTGCCATATTCATGCATGGCTTCACTGCAAAAGGTAGTCCCATTCATTTCAGTAGATACTGTCCATTGCAGCAGATCAGTGTCCTAATTTATGAGCTTCTGTACCTTTTCTATGCCAGTTTGCCTCTGAGTTTACCTGCATTGAAGCAATTTATATGCAAGGCGGATGGTTTATTTGCATATTAATTTGCCGAAGTCAGGAGCAGGAGTGTCAGCCTCAAGTTTCTATGAGCTGATTAATTTTTGTACTGACTGCCTTCTCAAGAGTATAACATTACTAAGCTCATATCAAATCTCATGACATTGTTTAAGAGGGTGTGTCTTGTCAGTTGTTTGTCCTTCAAGCTAAAGAACATTCCCACCATCTCTGGACTATGGCAGAAGTATTGAGTGCTGAATCATGTCTCAGTTTACCTGACCTTGTTGTCTGTCTTTGCTTTATCTGTCCTACATGCAGTCAGATCCTAGGTGACATCCTGTGGCCGTCAGGTCTTTACGGCGTTGAGCCCCCTCCCTCTCCTTGGCCCCTGCCTGCAGTTCTCCAGGCTGCAGGACCCAGACTTACTGAAAAGTGCAGGCCTCCTCCTCCTGCAGAATGACTGTTGCCACAGGAGACCCCTCTGACGAGGCGGCTGCACACCCGGGGCACCCGCAGGACTACGACCCGGAGGCCGACCATGAGTGTTGTGAGAGGGTGGTCATCAACATCTCAGGGCTTCGCTTTGAGACTCAACTCAAAACCCTCTCCCAGTTCCCAGAGACCCTGCTCGGGGACCCCAAAAAGAGGATGCGGTACTTTGATCCGCTTAGGAACGAGTATTTTTTTGACAGGAACAGACCCAGCTTTGACGCCATACTGTATTATTACCAATCAGGGGGCCGGCTAAGAAGGCCGGTCAACGTCACTCTTGATATTTTCTCAGAGGAGATTCGCTTCTATGAGCTGGGCGAGGAGGCCATTGAGATGTTCAGAGAAGATGAGGGTTTCATCAAGGAGGAGGAGCGGCCTCTTCCTGATAACGAGTTTCAGAGACAGGTGTGGCTGCTGTTTGAGTACCCAGAGAGCTCAGGTCCTGCTAGGATTATCGCCATAATCTCTGTCATGGTCATCCTGATCTCCATAGTCAGTTTCTGCTTGGAAACCCTCCCCATTTTCCGCAATGATGAAGATGACATGCACAAGTCTCATGCAACAGTCTTTTCACCTGAGACCAACACCACAATCGTCAGCTATACATCCACATACTTCACTGACCCCTTCTTTATCCTGGAGACTCTCTGCATTATATGGTTCTCATTTGAGTTTCTGGTGCGCTTCTTTGCCTGCCCCAGCAAAGCAGGCTTTTTTGGTAATATAATGAACATTATTGATATTGTTGCTATCATCCCTTACTTCATCACTCTTGGCACAGAACTAGCAGACAGGCCAGAGGATGGTCAAGCGGGTCAGCAAGCCATGTCTTTAGCCATTCTCAGGGTCATCCGCTTAGTACGAGTCTTCAGAATTTTCAAGCTCTCACGTCACTCCAAGGGGCTTCAGATTTTGGGTCAGACCCTGAAAGCCAGCATGCGAGAGCTCGGCCTGCTCATTTTCTTCCTCTTCATAGGAGTCATCCTTTTCTCAAGCGCTGTCTACTTTGCTGAAGCAGACGAGCCCGAGTCACAGTTTGAAAGCATCCCAGATGCGTTTTGGTGGGCTGTGGTGTCCATGACAACAGTCGGCTATGGTGATATGGTCCCAACTACGATTGGTGGAAAGATTGTGGGTTCCCTCTGTGCCATAGCAGGTGTGCTGACCATTGCCTTGCCCGTGCCTGTCATTGTGTCCAACTTCAACTACTTCTATCACCGTGAGACTGAAGGTGAAGAACAGGCGCAGTACCTGCAGGTCAACGCGCCCAAAGCCGATTCAGCCGAGGAGCTGAAGAAGAGCCGGAGCGGCTCCACCATCAGTAAATCGGACTATATGGAGATCCAGGAGGCTGTTAATAACAGCAACGAGGACTTTCAGGAGGAGAACCTTAAGACAGCCAACTGCACGCTGGCCAACACAAACTATGTAAACATCACCAAAATGCTCACAGACGTGTAGTCATCTGCTATTTTCCTCCCCGTCTCAGCAGGAAATGTGGAGCTGAGCAATTGGACAGGACAGGTGTACAGCCTCCCACCTCACGTGCTGGAAAAATCAAGGCAATAGAATTTAGGACGTTGATGATGATGATGATAGACAGTGAAAAAAATATTACAAAGACCGTTCGCACACTTCGCGCTCATCCTGTCTTCACCCCTCACAACTTGCCCTTAAAACTCCTGATAACTGTCAAACAGAGTGAAATTTCAAATTTTGCATTTCTGCATGGAGTTGGCTTTGTCTGCGTAGCTCTTTAAAAAAAAGATATAACAAAACCTCAAAATTCCCTGCTCACAACAGTAGCCAACAGTAGTGCACAAAAAGAAAAGAAAAAGGGGAGATACACAGCAAGAAAAATGTTTTTTTTATCGCTTTCAAACAGAAAAAAGCAACACAACACGAACCCTGCTTTAGTCCCCTGTCCATTGGTCCCTCATTTCCCAAGGCACACTGCTCTGCCATACGCTTTCTGAAGAGCCCTAATCACGCGCTACATGTGCTGCTTCCTGGAGCTAATGAAACAAAACTGTCTTATGCTACACCATTTAGAAATAAGAGGATGTGTGAGCATAAAGCAAGCCCACTCCTGTGCCGACATGGCCTGTGGGTGACTTGTGACGAGGTTGGTGGTTAAGTACACCACGCTATTTCAAGGATGAATGACAGCCATCAGCACTAAGCTTATGGTTCGACACCTTTTTTCCCAGCAGGCATCAGTATCTGATGAATGACTGAGAATGGCCTTGACTTTTCACTGCTTTGGTCTTACATGTATGACTGTATGTATTGCAATGCAAGCTTCCCCCCTTCCATTCACCTAAAACTGGTCTTACTGCAGAGCTTTGAGGACAACTTGAATGTTTCTTCTTGTTTTGTAAGCTTTTCACAGTTTCTCACACACACACACACACACACACACACACACACACACACACACACACACACACACACACACACACACACACACACACACACAGTACTTATTCATATAGATAGGTAGGCTAACTGTGACTTGGCTAACTGATAGCTGGTAGGAAGGTAGGTGCTGTTAGTAGTAATCATAGCCAGTAGACTTTGCATGACATTTATCTGATTGAGAATTTCCACTCGTTTCTCGACTGCCACATTGCTTCATCACACCACTGTATATTTGTATGTTCACTGCCTTCTACAGAAATCCACACTTTTAAAAGGATGCCTGCAGGTAGCTGTGACAATAACCTAAAGCTATATGTTAGAGGATTTCTTAAGGAATAACCATAAGGCCATGTCCTACACTTAACTGGATGCGGTGTCCTTGTCAATATTAACATTCCGTGTAGAAGTCATTGCTGATAAAACTTTAGCCAGGTTGCTGTAAACGTATCGCAGCTGAGCTGTGATTTCAGGCGTAAACTCACACTCTAGGACATTAATCCCAGTTGCAGATGTGATAGACTTGCAGTGCTGTGTTTTTCACAGGTTTGTCACACGATCACGTCCTCATGATCAAAATAGCAGCTTTTAAGGACTGGTGTATTGACTAATGCTTCCCCCTGAATTGCCTTTTATCTGGGTTTACGCTTCTCTCCTAGTGTTGCATGAACTCAAAAACATTCCTAGAAGCATGCATTTAAGGTCAAAAGAAGAAGCCTCTGAGACAAAAAAGTATAATAATTACAATAGATATATTTATTTCTTAAATATATATATATATATATAAAATATATGTATACAGACAGTACACATATACAGTACACATATACAGTACACATATACTTTTATCAGAGAATTAAAACTTTAAATAGCAATGTTTAAGAGAAAACAAGAGCCTTTCCACAATGCGCAGATCATTGCCATGTTTTTATTTTTAATGACAATAATAATTGTTACGTGCACTGTTCTCCTGTTTCAGAGCCTGTTCCTGTTAAGAGTGCATAAGACACACTCTTACTAGCCCGTTCAAAAGCATTGTCTTTACTGGTGAGTTTTTCAGCAAACCTCGCATGTGGATTTAAACACAAAAAAAGTTCAAAAGGTTCAAAACTGCCTTCTGTGAAGTAGTTGTTGAAAGGCAGGGCTTTTTCAAAACTGTATCATCCCTAACCAGAAGCTTGTACCAGAAAGCTCTTTATTGGTGTTAAATTGTTTAGAATTTAAATGGAGTCTGGCTGTCCTCTGAGAAGTCTTTGATGTCAGATGCTCAATCTGTCTTTAAAAATTGGCATCAAATGTGAATTAGGTTCTGATTCTAGGATTGTGTCCAGCTGAGATTTTCCACTGTTCGCTCAACACTGCCAAGTTAACACTCAAAGGCAGTAACGTCAATATGGGAAGTGATAATTAGCATCAGTGTAGCAAACATTGGCTAACCTGGGGTCCTCTGACTTCACTCCTGAGTCTCTTGCCTTTCTTCATCTTTTCACAGATGTCTTAGGTAATTAGAAAGGCGATCGATTAGGTCTGTAGCAAGAACTGTCTAAATCAATTCAGTCATGCCAGGATGTACATCTTTCTTCTTAGGGTTTCACTCTGCTCACTACAGTCTTTAACCTGCAGTAGCAAAATGTTTTTATGCCATCGCTGCCAATATGTGCTCAGGATGCCTCGTCCAACTGCCTGACATGAGGCTTCTGAAGTAGTCTCTCTGTCTAGATCCGTATCTGCTTTCATGTATCTTGAAAGGATTCAGAGAATTTTAGTATAAATGCTTGAGCTGTTATGTTTGTTGTTTTCCCAAGAGTAGCATAAATGTGGACTGAGATGTTAAAATGGTCAGTAACTTGAGGTAGGACCAGATTAAATAGTTATTTAGCAATATTCCCATAATCCTTTGGTGGAGGGGTATGTGTGGAGAACATACACTTTGAAAAAAGAATGAACCACAGTCATACCAAGATCTTGTTGATCATCATTTGAGTATTGATGTGGATGTGTTGATGCACAGCTATATAGGAGTTGTCTGTGCATGTGTGTGTGTGTGTGTGTGTGTGTGTGAGAGAGAGAGAGAGAGAGAGAGAGAGAGAGAGAGAGAGAGAGAGAGAGAGAAAGAGAGAGAGCCACTGAATGTCTGTGTCTTAGCCTGGTTGTACAGCTGCATTTATGCAATAGCCATTTGCATATCTGTATATGTGAAAAAAAAACACTCACAGTCTGACCAAAAATATTTGTCTATGCATGCAAATGCATTGTATCTTATTGTCTTCACTACATTATTTTGGACAGATATTTAGGATACATGTTACTTGCAATGTATGTAAAAATGACACTTGCAAGATGTATCTGTTATGTTTGAAATTGGGCACATTACTGTACCTCAGCCAAATTCACTGTAGCAACTCACATACTGGAGTTCACAATGTGACAGTTATTTCTGCTTAAAGCACAAACACGAGTAGAATCTTCCTCATCTCTACACCTGCAGATTTAATCTGTAAAACGTTTTATTCCGTGGAAACAAAGTAAATTAAAATTATCCTGTGTTGCTTTATAAGGAGCACCACCGCCTCTAAAAGTATCATCTCTCACCTGCTGAGGGACCCACCAGCAAATCCACACCATAAGAAAGGGTGCCCAACAGTGAATACACTGAGAAATCTATGCAGAGAATGATTATCAGCTGGTAGTTGAGAGGGTTTAAGTACAGAATTTTTGTGTTTATTCCAGCACCAATTACATGTTGATCGTGAGAGCTGGCAGTGCATTTGGAACAAACACTTTGCAATATTCTGCTGCTGAACGTCAAACACTCAAATTTTAGCTGAATGTGAACATGAGCTTTCTGAGCTTTTGGGGTTTGTTTGAATTGCGATGTCAGCTCTTCGAGACAAGGCTCCTATACGGGAAACAAGATCAATATGCAATCTGTATGCATGTGTGTGTTTGAGAACGGATGTTTTCTTTTCTTTTGACCCCTGAGCCTGAAAGTGTGGCATCCACTGAGACAATATGTACAGTTATTCACCCCCCATCCTCCCCCATATCATAGAGGCCTAAAAAACATCCATCAACGTTGGTACAGTGGATTATGGATTTTCTTTCTATGAAATGAAATGAAATGTGACAGAATAATGTAAATAATAACCATTGGATGATGGAGCAAAAACCATGTACTATATACTGTATGTGAAGTCTGGATTTAAAACGTAGTATTATCTGCACTTTACAAGTCAAAAAGGACAATCTATGGACAAGAAAAACATGTGAAATTAAAAATGCATTTAATCCTTCCAAATGATCATATCCCTGACAAAGTAATGAAGTAAAATAATGAAGCCAATAATAATTCAACTGAAACTGTGTTCAGTGTGTTCATTGTGTGTCATTACTGCACTTTTTGTTTAAAAAGAATGTGATTTTTGTGCGGAAGGAGCACCTGAAAATATGTGAGAGGTGTTTTTCAAATGCTTATGCAGGCCTTTTCACATTGTTCGCAAGGTATTTAGTCAGCAAATGATTTGAGGAGCTAATTTTAGCTGAAGAGCAACTGCGCTGATACAAAATGCCATGAATCGATCAGAGGCCTCTTTGTTGTTATTCTTAGGACACCCAGCGTCTTTGTAGCCATGGGCAGTGTGGAGGACACACAAACGCCTCCTGGTATCTTCAGCTTCTTCCTCCATTTAAGTGCATGGTATATGCTCCCTGCAGATTAAAAGAGAGAGCAGGGTGTTCTATTAATAGCCTTTTTGTTAGAGAAAGAGAGGAGGAGGAGGAACGTGAGGAGAGGAGGAGACAGAAAGAAGGGTGTAAAGGAGATGGCAGAGGAGGAGAAAGGCATTTTTCTTTAAGAAATCCTCCACAGTTAACTTTTTTATGGTCCTAACATCCATCCAATAGAAGAGATTATACAAATAGTCATTGCTTTGAAATAAAACAAGCAAACAGGACATATCATAGCTGTATTTCTCAGATGATGTTACACTGTTGTGTTCTGTATGATATATTTTTGCTTGAATGAGCCTCTTCTCTTCACCTGTCACATCTACACCTGAACAGGTTTTTTTTATCTTATGCTATCTGCTATCTTTAGTCCACTTGTGGTTTAACTACAGCTCTGCATTGCGAGTGGGAACACTTGGGGCCTCGGTGCTGTAGCTACATGTCCGCTGTAGTCATTAGTCTTGCTTTGATCCAGCGATGCAGTGCAGCACTCTGCAGCTCGCTCTACTGAAACCAGGGCAAATGGGGAGAGGCAAGCAGGATGGTGCAGCCCAGCTAAGGACGCAGGCAGCGGGAACACAGGCCTGCTGCAGGTGGCCACCGCTGCCACAACATTGTTATTGTTGTTAGGGAGGAGAGTGTATGAATGTGTGCGTGTGTTGTTTGTCAGGGATGGTAGCATGCCCACAGGAGAATGGTTGAGCAGTCATACAGGTTTGCACTTTGCTTACAAGCTTGTAATTAGGAGACAAGCACTGTGGGACTTGCTGCTATTCCAACAGCGCTGGCCTGGCACAGGACCACACCCCGTTTTTAGGAGGTATTCAGCATCACTCACTGACTCCTGCCCTGATATCTGCCAGTGATGGTTTTCTGTCGTCACCCAAGAAGCCCCGCAGTGAGTCTTGAAAAGGTTCAGTTACTCTTTTAGCATACTGTAGCTGTGACTGGGTTTCAATTGTTTGGCTTGAAGTGAAGGTTAAAATAATGGAGATAGATGTGAAATAAAATGAAGAGAGCATTACTGCCCTCTAGGGCTGTTGTTGCAGAAATGACACAATGTTTTGTACCTCAGTTTCTCTGAGGACCATCAATGTGTTACTACTACTAAAAAAGCTTGTTTTTCCAAGAGTATCCTTGAAATTAGTGGTGGAAGAATTCTTTTGATTAGGTAAAAGTGCCAACAAGATTATCTAAAAATACTCCATTATAAGTAGAAGTCATGCATTAAAAAGCTTACCTTAGTAAAAGTACAAGCAGATTATCAACAAAATCCAGGGTACTCCATGTATCACAACTAAAACTACTCATGCACAATAATAGCCTCTGGAGTACTATATCAGTGTATGCCACATTATTAGATTGTTAAAACTGATGTATCATGTGTAATTAGCAGTTTGTTGTTTTAGCTGGTTAAGGTGGTGCTAGTTTTAACAACCTTATATACAAATCTGTAGTTTATTCCAGTGGCTCCCAACCAATGGGTCAAGCCCGCTTTAAAGGGTCACAAGATAAATCTGGGGTTTGTGTGATTGTTAAGGGGAGGGCAAAGAAGAAAAACAAGTTCTGCTTTGCAAATCAATATTCCCTTTTTGGACAGTTCTCTAATCTTCCCTAAAATATTAAGAATTACTCGTTTAAAGCTTATCGTATGAAAAGTAACTACTGGTAATAGCTACAGATATAAAATAAATGAAGTGGAGGAAAGGTCCATCATTTTACTGTGATGGGCAAAAAGTGATGGTAGAGTGTAAAGCAACATGCATTGGAAATGGAACAGTACTTGTCCCTTTCACCGGTACATAAATACTTTCCACTGGTCTCTCTTCTATAGTGACGGGATACAGTAAGTAACAGTAGTGTTAGGTTTCCCAACACAATAGGACACATGTCCACGCCTGTTCCCTCCAGAGTCATATGGAGGATCAGTACACTCCTATTGTGTGATGGCCATGTTGAGTGGATTTGAGAACAAGCACACACACACACACACACACACACACACACACACACACAGTCACCCTTATCTAGCCCTCTAGGGACGAGGGATGAAAAATAGATGGGTTAAGGTCTGCCAACCATACGTCCCATCTTACAAGGGACGGTGAACCTGTCAGAACGCAAACAGCAGAAGTAATGTGAAAGACCAGACCAGTATGGAAACTCGGGAAAATCCTCTTCCATTAAATGTCCTTGTGGGCTGAATAAACAATGTGGAGTAAGGTCACAGGGAAACCAGTGATTATGAGGCTGCAGGACTATAAACTTCAAAATCCCTCTGGCTACACTTGACTTATCTTTTTTACTTCATCAGGTGGACTTTGAGAATGGATCTTTTGGAAAAACTTATTTGACTTTCTTATCTCAAATCTGACTGTTCAGTATGAGGCCACAGCCAGGACATGATTTGTTTAATTTAAAAACCAAAACAGGAAACGGCTACTTTACTGGAGTCTCTGCTGGTTGCTGCCAAGAAAAAGTCTGGAACAAAACACTGCAGTAAAACTGCAACTTTAAGCTTTGTAGGGATTCAACAAACGGGATAAATATAGAGATTTGTTGCTTATAGACAGAGCAATGCTAGCTGTTTCTCCCTGTTTCCTGTCATTATGCTAAGCTAAGATAATCAATATTTTCATCTAACTCTCGATAAGCATATTTCCCAAAATATGTTTATTCCTTTCACTCTAGAAATGATGGCTTGTTAGAAAGTAGACTGAGAAGTAGGTATTAAGTAATTACCAACATTTATATCTGCATTGTTACCAAATGTTAAGTATAACCAACAGCCATGGGGATTTCTCAAAACTTATAAGTGGCTCAAATCGATGGCTTATAACTGATCTATACAGCAATAGTAAATTATGCATTAATTTATAATAGTAAGTACATAAGTACTTAGTACAGAGAAACAGTACAGAGAACAAAAAGACATTCTGACTGGAGACATGAGTTTAAATCTTTGATCAGGACATGTCGTTTAAGTCTCACATTAAGCAAATTTCAAGGACCGCCTTTTTTCACCTACGTAATATTGCGAAAATCAGGAACATCCTGTCTAAAAATGATGCAGAAAAAATAGTCCATGCATTTGTTACTTCTAGGCTGGATTACTGCAATTCCTTATTATCAGGCTGCTCGAAAAAGTCCATTAAGACTCTTCAGCTGATCCAGAATGCTGCAGCACGTGTTCTGACAGGAACCAGGAAAAGAGATCACATTTCTCCTGTTTTAGCTTCTCTGCATTGGCTTCCAGTAAAATCCAGAATAGAATTTAAAATCATTCTTCTTACCTACAAAGCTCTTAATGGTCAGGCACCATCTTATCTTAAAGAGCTCATAGTACCTTACTACCCCACCAGAGCACTGCGCTCCCAGAATGCAGGGTTACTTGTGGTTCCTAGAGTCTCCAAAAGTAGACTAGGAGCCAGAGCGTTCAGCTATCAAGCTCCTCTCCTGTGGAACCAGGTTCCAGTTTGGGTTCAGGAGGCAGACACCATCTCCACATTTAAGAGTAGGCTTAAGACTTTCCTCTTTGATAAAGCTTATAGTTAGGGCTGGCTCAGGTGAGTCCTGAACCATCCCTTAGTTATGCTGCTATAGGCCTAGACTGCCGGGGGATTTCCCATGATGCACTGAGCTCCTCTCTCCTCTACTTTCTCTCCCTCTGTATGCAACCTTATCCCATTATTGCATGTTACTAACACAACTTCTCCCCTTTCTGGTAGTCTTGTGCTTTCTCGTCCCTCTCCTCTCTCCTCCTATCACTTCCTGCAGGTTTTCTGGCTCTGGAGCTGTGGAGTCTGGAGCTGTGGCTGCGAGTCACCTGCTGCCCCCGTGTTCCTGCTCGACACCCTCTGCTGCAACGACTATTTTTGCTAGTCTTATTGTTATTATTGTTATTATAATCATTAACATTACGATGGTTACCATTAACACTATTATAAATATCTGTACCATTTTTCATTTAGTCTATAGCAACATTACCTTCGCTGTGTGTACCTCTGTGTGTATATTATGTAGGCTGCCTCCCTCCCCTCTCTCTCTCCTTACATCTCTCTCTCTCTCTCCTTACATCTCTCTCTCTCTCTCTCTCTCTCTCTCACCCCAACCGGTCGAGGCAGATGGCCGCCCACCCTGAGCCATGGTTCTGCTCGAGGTTTCTGCCTCTTAAAAGGAAGTTTTTCCTTGCCTCTGTCGCCTAGTGCTTGCTCTTGGTGGGAACTGTTGGGCTTCTGTAAATAACATCACAGAGTACGGTCTAGACCTGCTCTTTTATGAAAAGCGCTGTGAGATAACTGTTGTTGTGATTTGGCGCTATATAAATAAAATTGAAAAAATTGAATTGAATTAAATATCTCTTTTTAAAGAGGTGGTATTATGCTCATTTTCAGGTTCATGTCAAAATACATGTTGCCGACCAGGCTGGCAATTTGAACTGGAGCAAGAGTTTCAGAGTGGTGAGATATTAATCTGTAACAAAAGTATTTTTCATCCAAAAAGTTTTAACTGAGCTCTGCCTCTACATCACAGTAACAACTTCATGTCCACTGACTGCTTGGAGGGTAGGTGTGTGCTGCAGCTCATTGTTTGTCCACTGGTGTTTTTGAGGGTGTGTTGGACTAGTC